CACACACACACACACACACACACACACACACACACACACACACACACACACACACACACACACACACACACACACACACACACACACACACACACACACACACACACACACACACACACACACATATTGCCTCTTCCTTTCAAGCTTCGTATCTTGTGGTCCTTCATGTTTATCATCAAGCAGGCAAGCAAGCAAGCAGGCAAGCAATCACCAAATCCTCACGCACGCAGCAATCAAAAGCAACACAATGCAAGCTGAAAAGCTCGCCCTGATCTGAGAGACATTGTTACACTCCTCCTTCACATGACCCACTTCCCAACACGCCCAGTACACTCGACAGACAGACAGACAGACAGACAAATGCACACAAACACACATTCAACACATCACACGCACACTACACAACGCACACGACAAAACCGGTTCACAAGCGCGCATAATCACCCACTCCCTTGCTCACAGCAACAAGCAGCAGCAACCTTAACCTCTCTCCCCCAGGACCTCAGTAGCGTGGTGGCGGGCGGGGCTTGCGTGCACGGCTCGGGCGCTGGTGTTGGCGACGCGGCATGCGCGAGTGGGCGTGTGGACGCCTGCGGTCCGAGGACACACGCACGCGCGAGAGGGACTTGTTGTCCAGGCCCATGCGAGCGAGGATGCTTTGGGAGAGCACGGGTGGTGTGGGCAGCATGAGCGCATCTGTGGCGTAGGCGTTGCCAAAGTCGACGAGCTGCTGTGGCGACATCTTCATGGTGGACAGCATGCCGCGGTAATGGCCGAGGAAGGAGAGGTACGTGTCGCTGCCACGCTCCGGATCGTACTTGCGCAATTGGTCGTAGCGCTTGGCAATAAACGCACGCGACTCATCAATCATCGCATCCACCGCAGCCGTGTTGCTGGCGTCAACGAGCCCGTTGGCAGACACAATGTCGTGCATGGACTGCTGCTCAATAGGAAGGCCCTTGAGCTCGCTCTTGACAAAGGTGCCCTCCTGTGGTGTTGTCAGCATCACCGCCACGCCCTTGCTGCCACCGCGGCCCGTGCGCCCCACGCGGTGCACGTACTGCTCGCGGGACGATGGCAGGCCAACCTGCACGACGAGCGACACGCCGGGGTAGTCGATGCCACGTGCGGAGACGTCGGTTGTGAAGAGAACGCCATCCTTCGCCGTCCTGAACGTGCCGCTGATGCGGTCGCGCTTCGACTGCTGCATGCGCGAGTGCAGGGTGTACAGCTTGAACGAGTCGCGCTCAAAGAGGGTGGAGAAGAACTGCGTTTGCACGGCCGTCGGGAAGAACACCATCACCTTTGATGGCATGCGCTGGAGCTTGCGCTCGGCAATGTGCGCATGGATCATGCTGTGCAGGCTGGGCAGGAGCGAGTCCATCTGCACCTCCACGGCGCGCTGGGTGACGCTTGACGCCGTCTCCGTCTCCTGATCCTTGCCGGCATCTGGGACCTCGAGCATCTTGGGCGGCTGCAGGCAGGCGAGCTTGGCCATCTGCTCCACGTCGGGCGGGAAGGTCGCGCTGAAGAGCAGCGTCTGGCGCTTGCTCTGTCTTGCGTTGAGGTGCTGCAGAATCTGCTCAATCTCCTTGCGGAAGCCCATATCCAGCAGGCGGTCGGCCTCGTCGAGGACAAGCACGCGCAGGTCGTCAAACACGTTCTCCCACCCGCAAGTGCGGATCATGTCAAGGAGGCGGCCGGGGGTGGCGGCGAGCACCATGGGTGGCACGCGCTCCAGCCGCTTCATGGACACGCCACGCGGGGTACCGCCGATGCACGACTGCGCGCGCAGCTCGCGCGGCAGGTAGCGCAGTAGGCGGTCGGCCTCTGTCTCGGCCTGCTTGGCGAGCTCGCGCGTGGGCGCGATCACAAGCACGGGCACGCGGCGGGGCTTCTGGCGTGCCATCTTGCGCGCGTCACGGAAGTGCTTCTGGATGGTGGGCAGCAGGAAGCCGAGCGTTTTGCCGGTGCCCGTCTTTGCCTTGAGCACGACGTCGTCGCCGTTCAAGCATGAATCAAAGCACATGCTCTGCACCAGTGACGCCTCTGCGTACCGGAAGTCCTGCTTGAGGGCCTTCTTCAAGCGCACATCCATATTCATGTCGTCGAACCGCACGGGCGCCTGATCCCCGCTCTCGATGCGCTTCTCATCCTTGGTGAACTCGATCCCGCGGCCGCGTGCGAGGCGGGGATGATGCCGCGTCAGCTTACCGTCCTTCAACAGCGGCTGCTCCTCTCTCGCTTCCGCGGCAGCGGCAGCTGCACGATCGGCCCTGGCAGAGGTGCTCACGGCCCGCACCCACGTTGCCTGTGTACCTGTTGCCGCTGGTGCTGTGGACGACACCGAGGTCGCTGGATGCGCCCCTGGCGATGATGTCTTGCAGCGCACAAGCCGCAGCGCGGTGGCGGCCGTGGTTGGCGCACGCCGAATCAAAGGCAAACGCATCGTGCTGCTTTGTGTGGTGCTGTGTGTGGTGCTGTGTGCTGTGTGTGTGTGTGTGTGTGTGTGTGTGTGTGTGTGGGGCAGGTGGATTTGGCACGCGGCGGCAAACAGCAGGAGGCAAGAGCGGAAATGCTGAAATTGAAAACGACAGCACAAATTGTAGCGCACTCTTCGCTTGTGTGTGTGTGTGTGTGTGTGTGTGTGTGTGTGTGTGTGTGTGTGTGTGTGTGTGTGTGTGTGTGTGTGTGTGTGTGTGTGTGTGTGTGTGTGTGTGTGTGTGTGATTGTTGCAGCTGCGGAGCTCCCAGCACGTCTTGAGCACATGTTCACACAAACTTTGTGTCATCGTCATGCTTTTGTAAGAGAGTGGTGAGGGGAGTAGGAAGGGAAACGAGACAACGCCACACAGTACAAACGACACAACACAACACAACACACACACACACACACAATATGACACGACACAACACAACACAACACACACACACAACACGACACACACACACACAGGTGGGGGAATCGGGCGCGCTCACATGGCGATCCAGCGGCCCGGTAGCTCACGCAGGGGATCAAAGGCCGGGTTTGTCGTGTGCTCGCGGTACTGCTGCTGCAACCGCTCATATTTGCCGTGGTTCAGGAACAGGCGGCAGCTCCGGCGCTGTGGGGAGTGCGATGAGCGAGCGAAGGGTAAATGCAATGAATGAGAAAATGTATGCACCAGGGCAGCTAGTCGCAGAGTGGAACACGATAAACACGCACGCATTCAACCCCTCTTCCACACACACACACACACACACACACACACACACACACACACACACACACACACACACACACACACACACACACACACACTCTCTCTCTCTCTCTCTCACTCTCTCACCAGGCCTGGGTCTGGCTCGCCGTGCTCGTCAACATATGGGCTGGGGAGGAGGATACCGCGACCACGGCTCAGCACCAGCACATATCCGTGCTTGATCAACAGGAACACGCCAGAACCAGCCGTGCACTCGTTGGCATGCAGCGTGCACCCACCATGGTTCTATCGGAAGCGTATGATAAAGATGGGGGGGGGCGTGAGGGGGGGGGAACAAGAGAGCATCGAGTGCGTGGGTGGGCAGGAATACAGCTCAAGCAGCCCAACAGCCCAACAGCTACAACTATCGCACACAATGAACGTCAACCGACAAAACATGACACAAACACACGTTCACCCAAAACCAAAACGCACACACACGCACACACACATACACAGCCACACGCACATATACAGACACGCGCGCGCGAGTGATGAACGAACCATGGTGCGGTTGAGGAAACGCTGCTGGCGCGTGCAGCACGGCGAAGCAAAGCAGACATATGTGCCGCAGAGGAGACACAGGGCAGGCTCCTTCATGGGCAGGCCCGTGTGCGCGCACTTCTTGTCGCACCCCTCAATCACAACCTCGTTGAACGACTCAGGCAGGTCAATGAGCGAGTGGAACACCTCCGGCGTCGTCAGCGCAGACGCGGGCGCACCTGATGGTGGTGGTCGATTGGTTTGGTGGTGTGAGGTCCATTCATGACAGAGCACGCCCGATAAATGGGATGTAGGCACATGCAACTTCCAGTTACACACACACACACACACACACACACACAC